GATTCCTTTTCCTCTCTTCTCTGATTTCTTCCAGAAATCTATGTCTCCCCCCACCCACCACCGCAGCTTCCCACGGTCAAGTCTGGAGAAGGAGCCAGGAGCCCATTTCAGTCCTCTATTTTGGGGCAGGTATCTGTGGTCATTCGGAGCGGTCACCCAAATGAACTTGAAACACTCGTTGTTTCTCACACAGTTAATGAGGAACACAAATATGAATCCCAGGTAGCACCGTGAAAGTCACCGTTTTATTATGAATTCCGATCCTGATCTAAAACAGAAAAGGGAATACAAGTTATTATAAAATAACCTCTTCAATACAGACCTTGGGAGGAAGAGTTGGAGAAAATGATCATAGTCGCATTGGGTTTTTAAAAATAACTAGATGGTATTATAAACCATCCACTTATTTGGGAGATGAAAACAGCTACAATTACGCTAAAGTGTCTCTAAATTCTTTCGCTTTATAAGCATGTCGATGTGGTAGATATGGATAGAAATCACCTTTCTCCATCTGTCCATGGTACTAGCTGTGTGACAGCATGTGACATGCGCTAAGAGTCTTGTTTTCTACTAAATTTCTAATGGACACGCATGAAGATGTCCCAGATATCAGGAAAGCTGGGTAAGAAGTAGAGACCGTATAACTGTCTAGCCAGATCAGAATATAATACAAACCCTATTACAAATGCAACTAAAACCACGAATCTTCACATTGTCTCAAAAAAAGGGAAAAGCTCAAAGTGGACTGATACTTCGCCTCAGGTTCCCCTCTCAGCATCCGACCCCCCGTCATCTGGCAGTGCGTGGGGGGCATTGTCCAAACTAGCGTAGCTCTGGGGATGGATCTATGTTCTGTTTTTTTATCCATTAGTTGATACAGAAATGATTTTGAGTAGCCAGTTATGTCTAAATAGAATCAATCAAGCCAGTACTGGTACTCATAAGCAGGTCCTTGAGACTGGACTCCAGGTAGCCTCTCTTCACTGCCAAAAACGTATCTCCCTCTGTGGCTGGCGGGAAATG